TGTTGGGGGGGGTTTGGCATGGGGCTGGGGGCTCTGCGAGGTAGCCCCTTGCCTTAGGGGGTTCTTTGCAGCTCTCCCAGAGACAGAGGGTGGTGGCTGGGCTGGGAGCTGGCTCCATCCCTGGGCTCCTGGGGAGCCCTGAGGCTGAACCGTCCCTGTGTGGGGCTGGGGTCCCCCGGCTGTCCCCACAGGGCTTTTCCAGCTCCCTGGGAAAGCACAGAGCTGTGTGCTGTGTCTCTGCTGCCCTTCCCCGATCTGTGGGTGGGGGGGGTGTCTTGGCTTTTTGAGGCCAGAGGTGACATTTTACAGTGTCATGCTGCATCTGCTGCGCCTTGGGGAAGAGCTGAAAGGATCCAAATCCTCCCCTAAAGGCTTCTTCCTGGCCCTGAGATAACTTCTTGGTAACGCTATGGGTGTCTGATTTGTGACTGAGGAACTTGGGGTCTGAAAGCTCTTTCCTACTCACTGCCTGATGAAGATCGAAGCTGTGCGAGGGGGTCCCCAGGAGGTGGGACACAGGGACAGCGCGTGATGTGCGCCCGGGACATCACTGCTGCCTAGTGTCGATGCTGGGGGAAGCGGTACGTGCCTCAGGAGGCACACGTTGGGCATTCCCTTCCTGTTGACAGTGCTCCCAGACCTGCCTGTAGCTATTTCACATGATCGTTTGGCGTAGGCATGATAATAGTGTTAACGAAGGGGGTGGCCTGAGTGACAAGATAACTTCTTTCTTGCTCAAGAACACCGTCTCTCTGCAGACGGAGGCTGCAGCCCTCAGGGCTCTGCCAGCTTGCTGGAGGGAGCACTGGGCAAACTGGCTTAGTGTTTCTCAAGACTCAGAGGGTTCTTAGATGTGGTTATGACTACCTGGAACTGTGTATGGCTGTGAGGGACTTCAGTTACTAAAGCTGCTTCTGCTGAAACTTTCAGACGAAAATGTGTGAACCTCTGCAACTTACAGCTTCCGTCTGAAACTGAGAGGTCTGTCCTCATGGAAAAATTGGTAAATGGAAAGTATTAGAAATCCAATAATCTGTTTTAATTAAACTCCGTCCCCGCTTTCCTAAAATATTTCCAAATTCTAGTAGCTTGGGTAGCTTATACACTCACTGTCCCAAAGAGTCACTGACCTAGTAAAGGCCACTGGCTGTGGTGCTTAATTTCCATTTCCAGGGGAAACCCCCACCTCCATCTGCAAAAAGTGGCTTTAATCTTTGAGGTTCCTAATGCTGATGGCTTTTCCAGAAAGGTTAGATGGGCACCTCTGCCAGCCATTCTGAAACGAACGTCCTAAGGGGAAAGCTGAAAGTCATCTCCTCCTCCTAAAACTAACTCTGCCCTCGGAGCATTTGCAAACATCTCCCTGGGCCGCGGGCAGTGCCATTCCCCATGGGCGCAGGCATCCTGTGACCCAGCTCTGCTGACGGCAGATACAGTAATGGGGGTATCAGTGGCAAATCTCGAAAAGAATGTAAATAAGTGCTTTGACCACAAATCACTACCCTGCCCTGATTAGCCTTCCCTGCTGGTATCTAAAGCACTAAATTTAGCTTTGTTTTCCTAAATGGTCATTAAGGAATTGCCAGTTAAGCTATTGAAGCAGGCATGCCAGCTTTGGCTCATTGGGTCTTCTCAGGGTAAAACACATTTGGAGAGGAGAAAAGCTTCCTGAACAATGAGATCCTGCCTCTGCCAGCAGGCCAGGACAACAGCAGGTGAGCTTCATGGGGCAGAGCGTCCTGCCACAGAAAAAATAAAAACCTTACAGAAGTTACAGAGCCAGCTTTATCCATGCTGGTCACTGTCAGAATGACAGAAATGAAGGGAGGTGCTTACCCCAGCAGGAAAGTGCTTGCTCTGCTGCCAGGCTAGCACGTTGTGCCAGCCGTGACAGTCTGATCGAGGCAGGGAAAGCGGAGAGCAGCTGGGCAGGGTTGGTGGCACAGCCCTGGCTGTTTCACTGAGCTCAGACCTGTGCCAAATCGGGCAACGATCAGCAGCTAAGCTATTGTGCCATGCTAAAAACATGCACTAAGAGTTTCATTGTTCTGAAACTACCTGTTTCAAGAACTTTCTCCAGTGGTGACCTAATATTTCTGATGTAGCAATGGTATGAAATCATCTGATCATTTTCATACAAGGCAAACCGTAACCGAAGCAAACGGGTGCTGTTTCTGCTTTTCTGCCTGGTCAATCCCATGCGTGGGCTCTGCCTGCTGGGACTCCCACTTGCAACTACCCTGGCTTGAAGCTGTGCCATTCTCCAGAGGATTCTGAAACAACTGACACAGATTTGCTAAGCACAGTGCCTTCCTGCAGTCTCTGAAGTAAAACAAGCCCTGGTCAGCACTTTTGCAGGGCAGAGAGTAGAAAGAGAAAACAAAACCACGCTGTGGGCTCATGAGGATCTACCCACACCACAGTTGGCATTGCAACACACCCCAATTCCTCCTACGCAGAGGAGAGCAAACCATGTTTTTCCAACCTTAATGATTCAATGATTCTATGTTCTGACACAACTGTGCTGCAAGGATTGTCACTGGCACAGTTGCATCCGTAATTAAGATGGGCTCCTAGTACTTCAGAGGCTGATTCTAACCTTGCACCAGTTTTTACATCAGCTGAGGAGTTATTCCTTATGCTAGCAACTAGAGTCCTTTCTTTTTTTTTTTTTTTTGCTGTGGTGTGTCTCTGCACGCTAACCCTGACACCAAGGCTGGTAAGACACTCTGCAGTTGGAGTTTTTCCCACCTGTCTAGAAGTAAAAAAACTGAGCAAAGGGCTTGTTTGAAGGGTGTTGAAACGGCTGGGCTTTGCCCTGGGAGAGGGCTGCAGACTGACTCAGCCTACTTGGCTCCACAAAACCAACAAACTTGCCCTCAAGCAGTGCAAGAGGAATAACCACTAACTGAGCAAACCATGTGGACTTTGGGACTGAGGCTTCATGTTCAAGCCCTGCTTTTGTTTGGAGCAGTTTGCTACAAGTTCTCTGAGCCTGATAAAGTCCCAGCTGGATTTTTGCTGCGCTGTTACGTTAGGCAGCGCCCTGGGCCGGGTGGGTACCAGAAGAGCGCCGGCTCCGGGCTTCTCACTCGAAAGGCTGGAGGTCCCAACTTCTGCTGTTGACACGTAGCATTCTGCATCCCTGCCTCGTTTGAATCTTGCTAAAATGCCGACTAATTGCACAGTTAATGCAGCAATATCTGACATCCTGCCAAGTCACCTCCTGAGATGTCTCCCCTAACTCTATCCATAGTCCAGGGCTAACAAATGCTTGTTTCACTACTTCTTTCCCAGCTCTTTGTTCCTGTTTCCACAGCAAAATAAAAACCTTGCACAAGCCAAAGAACACAAGAAACAAGACAATGGTCTCTGTCACAAATCAGATGGCAAGTTTTTATGGGTAGAGTCTTGCCAGTGAGCCTGGAGCAGTGCTTGGCTTGGGAATCGGGTTTGTGAGGAATTTTGGTTTGAGGGTTTTCCGTTGGAAAATGCCATAGCAATTCTAAGAATAGGAAATAACTGGCAAGGGAGAGAAAAGCGGACGCTGCACTGAAGAACAAATATGCTGAAATCCCTGCTGTGCCTGACTAAGGCTGAGAAGTAACCCTGGATTTATCGCACGATACTGGAGTGTCCCGATACTAACCAATGTCTATGCTGGGGAAAGCCAATACATAATCAGATACTGCATAATTTTTCTATTTGAACTCTAATCCCATTATGTAACGAGAATACTTCTGAGACTCGGTTTCACAGGAAGTGAGGAGAGGTTTCCTGCCTAGCTGGTCAGTAGGATGGGAACGCAAGTTTCAAGGTAGCCAGCAAGAACGCTGCAGCTGCAAAACCTGTCTCAGTCTTCTAGGAAAAGTCGAAGGATTTTCCTGTCCTTCCCAGAGCTGTGAGACTGCCAGTGTTCTGGAGTTGGCAGTGGTGGGGAAGTTGAGATAAGTTCCCCACTATGAACACAGGCACAGTGGGACTACTCTAAAATGACTCTCATCTCAACGTCCTTTGCAAAGGACACTCCAGAGTGAGCTTTCAGAGGAAAGGGGCTATGAACAACAAACACTTTTTAAGGCGGTAAAATACGCCTATTGCTGTTTCAGCTTCTCTTTAATTCACTGGAGGAAATTAAGTTGTACTCATGCTGTTACACTCTCATTTTTCCTTTCAGCTGCAGTTGAATTCAGTATGGCGTCAGAAAAGACCACAAAAAAAGATCTGCTGAAGGCTGAGGAACAGCAAGCGGTAGGTGCCAAGGCAGCTAGAACACTGACCTGCAACAGTTAAACTTGGGATGTGCCAATCTTTGTTAAACAGATCTGCTGGAAAACTAACTTGAGGCTGGGTCTGTCGTGTCACTCGTTTCTCATGACTTTTAGAGCGCTGTCAACCGGGTAAGCAGCTTGCCTTTGCTCAACTCCGCATTCAACCTGGTCTCATCTGCCTACAACCACACCAAGGAGACGCATCCTTTCCTCAGCGGTGTCTGCAACGTGGCCGAGACCATGGCTGCCGTTGCAGTAGGTAGCGTGGTTGGTGGAGCACAGCCCATCCTGAACCAACTTGAGCCACAAAGTAAGTGAAGAGGCTGGAGCGACCCTTTCTACACAGAGGAATAGATGGGGAGGGGAATTTCGTGTGTGTGTTGGGTGATAACCATCTCCTGTAGCACATAGTTAATTGGAGCACCGAGTCTTCCGCTCACCTGCTCCCAGCTACCCACTGGATTTCCTGGACATGAAACTGTTACTAGCAGCAGCAAAGTTTGGCCTCTTGTCTGTGGTTATTTTTAAATCACTAAGCAAAGTCTCCCTGTTTTTTCTCTGTAACTCCAAGTTATGAGCATCCCAACTGGTAGTAGCAGTGTCCATCTTGGATACAGCTCAGTCTGCCTCATCCCAGCACTTTTCAACCCTTTAAACCAATCACCCTACCCACCAGGGGCAAGTATTCTGCTCCAACTGGAGCAATGTGCTGCCAATAGCTAGAAAGCCGGGACGGCAAAATGGAGACTATTCAAACCTGACAAATTGTAGGGTTTGTTCATTTTATAACGAGACACCCCACCCCAGAACGGCGATTTTTTTTTTTCTGGCTTGCTTTCATGAGTGTATCCTGAATTGGCCATTGAAAGGTCAAAAACCCCTCTCCAAAGTGAAGAATAAAGTGGTAGCTCTTGTTTTTTCTAGTTGCGCTTGTAAATGAATATGCCTGTAAAGGACTGGATCAACTGGAGGAGAACTTGCCTTTCCTTCAGCAGCCGGCGGATAAGGTAAAGTAAAGGCTTCTCCTGGGGAAGCCATGGCTTGATCTCTTGCTTAATGGAACCCTTATGGGTACAGAAGAATATGGGGAGTCAGGCAGGCCCTGGTTTGGGCTAGAGGCACTGCTAGCTGATGGAAGCTGGAGATATGCATTCAGCATGTGGAAATGACCATGTCCTCGTGCATACAGGTGTACTGACTTCCCCAGCTCTCCCACAAGACTGCAAGCACCACTTAGCCATAGGGAAAAGCTACTTCAGGGAGGGAAAACCTATTTCAGGAACAAAAAAATTATCTTTCTCTGCTTCTTTCTATTGTAGGTCATTTCAGACACCAAGCAGCTGGTTTCCACCAAGGTGATATCTGCTATGGATGCTGCCTGTGAGGCAAAAGAAGCCATGGCTGATAAAGTGACTGAAGCTGTGGACCTCACTAAAAATGTCGTTGGGGACAGTGTCAAGCTGACCAGGTCAATGGTCACCTCCACTGTTAACAGTGCTGTGGAGGCTGCTCATGGTGCCAAGGACCTTGTGACCAACAAGGTGACAGAGGCAGTGGACCTCACTAAGCACATGGTGGAGGACAGCGTTGGACTGACCAGGTCTGCAGTGGCTTCTACTATAGTCAATGCTGTGGAGGCTGCCCAGGGTGCCAAGGACCTTGTGACCAACAAGGTGACAGAGACAGTAGACCTCGGTAAACACATTGTGGAAGACAGCATTGGACTGACCAGGTCTGCAGTGGCTTCTACTATAGTCAATGCTGTGGAGGCTGCCCAGGGTGCCAAGGACCTTGTGACCAACAAGGTGACAGAGGCTGTGGACGTCAGTAAACATATCGTGGAGGACAGCGTCGGACTGACCAAGTCTGCAATGGCTTCTACTATTGTCAACGCTGTGGAAGCCGCCCAGGGTGCCAAGGACCTTGTGACCAACAAGGTGACCGAAGCAGTGGACCTCACTAAACACATTGTGGAGGACAGCGTTGGACTGACCAGGTCTGCAGTGGCTTCTACAATTACTGCTGCTGTTGGGGCTGCCCAAGGTGCAAAGGATCTCGTCACCATCAGAGTGACTGAAGCAATGGACCTCACCAAAGGGGCTGTTCAAGACAGTGTTGAGAAGACCAAATCAATGGTCACTTCTACAGTCACTACAGCTCTGGACGCTGCGTATGGCACCATAGCTAGCAAAATAAACACAGCCTTGGAGCAGAGCAGAGAGGCTCTCCAGGATGGCGTGCAGATGACTAATTCAGTGGTGACCAACAGCATCAGCAGAGCCAAGGCGGTGAGCCAAGCCGTGGCAGGTGGCATGGAATCTGTCCTGGGTGTGTCAGAAGATCTGGTGGATCACTACCTCCCAATGACAGAGGAGGAACTAGGTGAGAGAGTGCTTAGCTGGCGGTTGTAAATGCAAATCCTTTCCCACGTGACTAGAGAGCACCTGACACTGCAAGACTCATCTTCTGAAGTAGACAGGTAGCTCTGAATGTGCCACCAAGGTGGCTGTCTGTGAACACCGACTTGCCACGTGGTATGGGACAGAGTTCAAGCATTTGCTCGCTGGTCCTTGCCCATCAGCCTCAAGGCAAATAAACATGTGGGTGCTTGCTTCAACCTGTCTGTCGAGTCTGCTTATCTGAAGAGAACACGGTGAGCAGGGACTAGCCTACTTTTACTATCTGAGCAACTACAAACCTCTCCTGCTTACACAGCAAGCTTCAGCCTTCCTGCTTTTCAGTTGGTGATCTTACCTCTTCCCCCTGCTTACAGCCGGGGGAGTAGAACACAGCTGCAACTCTGTTCTTGTTTCCTCCAGGTAAACTGGCCACCAGTGTCGAGGGATTTGGTATGGCTTCTGTGGAGGAGCAGAAACGGCAACAGACTTACTTTGTGCGTCTGGGTTCCCTCTCTAACAAAGTCCGCCACCGAGCCTACCAGCACTCCCTGAACAAACTCCAGCGCATTAAACAAAGCACCCAGGATACTCTCTCACGACTACAGCTGGCAATAAAACTGGTACAAACACGCTTTTTTCCTTTCTCCTCCTGTCTGTAGTCTTCCTGCCCTCCTATCCAGATGGAAGCTCTTCCTCCATCCTGTACCAGCCGCACTTTGTCCTGGATCCCTCCCTGGGAGGGAAGCTCTTGTGCTTCTCTGCTTGTGTGTGCTTGCAGTACAGCTGTTCCTCTCATTTCTCCCATCAGATTGAATCTGTGAAACAGGAAGTTGGCCAGAAGCTGCTGGATGGGCAGGAGAAGCTCCATCAGCTGTGGGTGGACTGGTGCCTGACCCAACCCAAAGGAAACCAAGTTAAAACTGCCGCCCAACCAGAGGTACCCCTAGAAGGGCGTATTTAATCAGGCCTCCTGTGCATCTCCTCTGCTCCAGTAACTGAGCTGTGTCTCTTTCCCAGCAGGTAGAGTCACGGACTCTAGCTATGCTGCATATCCTCACCCGGCAGCTACGACCTGTTTATGAGAATCTGAAAGCCAGCATCCAAGGCCTCCCCAGCAACATCCAAGAAGCTGTGTATCAGGCCACTCAAAATATCCACAAGCTCCATAATTCTTTTTCCAGTGCTATGTCTTTCCAGGACCTCTCCAGCACCACCCTGACCCAGAGCCAGGACTGGGTGGCAGAGGCGCGAAGGTCCCTGGATGACCTGTTTGCGTATGTAACTCAGAACACGCCTCTGAACTGGCTTGTGGGTCCCTTCAGGGCAACAGCTAAAGGGTCCCAGGATGGCAGGAAGCATAAGAAGAAAGATACAGTGACTGATATAAAATCACCCGTGTTGGAAAAGGGTACATCATCAAAGGAGGTGGCTAAGGCACCCCAAGAACCAAAGGGAGCAAACGGGATCCCAGGGGAAGGGTGTGAAGTGCCGGAGAAGCTGGAAGAGAAGGTGGAGAAAGACACAGAGGTGACAATGGCTGCAAAGGAGATAATAACTAATGCACCAGATGAAGAGCCCTGAAAAATTCCTGGCCAGGGCTGCCTGACTAGAACAAAACTTCATCTTTTAATCATGTGCCCACCTGCCAGTCGTGCCCAGAGTGCCTCCTGCTCCCTCCCTGTCCCAGGCTGAGGTTACAGCAAGATGTAATTTGCAAGGAGACTTGATAACACAGGTGGGGTGATTCCGTATCTCGACTTCCTATTTTTTTTAAATCACACTGCTGCTCTGAAAGGGACGATGGGGACCTGTACTTCAGCTTTTTAAGTCAGCCCAGCTCTATTGTGTGAATGGCTGATTCTTGCTGAGACAAGCTGTAGGAGAAAAGTGGTGGTCTCAACTTCTTTTTAGTGTTGGATTTGTTTTTAACTCATCCAAGCTGCAGAGATCATGAGAAGATGATGTGTTTGACCTTTGATATCGTTTTCCCTCCTTCTACAAGTTTAAAAATATGTGTTACTGACACAACTTCCTTTCTGGCTGTTGTGCGCTGGCGAGGCTCAGCCCTGCAGCAGAGCAGGAACCGCTGGAGGCAAGAGGCAGCTTCTCAAAAAGAGACTTCTCTTTATGGAGCAGCCAACCTCTTTCTCTTTCATAGAGAAACACTTAGCAAGGTGGGATTTTCTTTTAAGCATGCCAGTTTGCAGTGGGATTATCTTTCCTAGTTGTATTAATTATTTCAGGGATCTTCCATTTGTGTGTAGGTAACTCCATGCATTAAACCTTTTGCAGCCGTTAAGAAGCCAGCAAATGGGGCAGATTTTGCCAGGAGTTACTCAGCCACGCTAATAGGATATCCTGTTATTAAAATAAGGGAAAATAGGTGCTGGTTCTTTTCCCAGCAAATATTGCTTTGTAATCATTTCTAATATAAGTTATTTTGGTAATTTATGCCTGGCATGGTCCCTGTGCTAACGCTGGAATAATGGCAAGCAGACTTCAAAATAAAGCATGACCTGCATTCAAAAAAATCTCCGTTTCTTGTGTACATCAGTGCAGCATTATGTTGTCCCCTTCGCCCGAGCTGGTATGAAGCTTTCATTTAACAAATCACTTCTCAGGGCAACTTGACTGTTGCCTGATCTTGCTGGAGGGGAAAAAAAAATAAAAAATGCTTTTAGCAGGATCCATGTTCTGCCTGGGTCTTAAGCAGAAAAGTATCTTCACGACTTTGTCCCTCGGACTTTTTTCTGTATTCCCGAGGGGCAGCTGCACCTCTAGGGCTCCTGCTCCCCTTCCTTTCCTCCCTCCGTGCCCAGATCCCGCAGCGGGAGGTTTCCAGCAACCCCCGACACTTCCAGCGGCAATGCCAAGAGCCTCTCCCTAGCGGGAAACGCCGCCACCCCCCGCAGCTCGGCTCCAACACCCGGGGGGGAC